AGCTCCAACTGATGCTGGTGCCATTGTGGGAGTTGGTACCCAATCCCTGCTTTTGTCCACCTCCCCCCTCCAGCCCATCTTGGCAGATGCTCAAAAAAATACATAAAATGATCCCACACCCTTGGCCAACTGCCTCGAACCACTTCCTCCTTGCAGGTGCTCCAATCTCAGGAGGGTGCGGTGGTTTGTGGTTCTCGAAGTAGCTCTTGGGAGAGGGTGGGGTCTCTGAATAAACAGGAACTAAGAACAGAGCCAACTCTGAGAAAAAAAGCACCTTAGTAAACAGGACCACATTTCCCTGGGCAGAAAATTGGTTCAACTGTGGGCATCATTTGGGAATCCAAGAGTTGGAAGAGCTATTGCCATTTTCACCACCTGTTTCCTAGTGCCCATTTTTAAAGGAAGACCATGATTTTTTACAGACCATTGGTCTAAAATGCACTTGTGCCCAGTTGGAATTCAACTGATACAGTACATTTTTCCCACCCGCATGGAGCTGCAATACTAGGAATTGCTTTGCATATTATACTTCTGCAACTGTTAAAAGCATAATATATAGTTGTATTACAAAATCAAAGAGAATATGATTACATTGGGGCAGAGAACATTCCCACTTCTTCCAACCCATACTCTTAGTGGGTCATATCCAAATTCAGTCTTTTTTCCTACCTATTCTGGAGACTACAAATACAGGTTTTGTGCTGTAGGTATTAAACCAATGGGTAGATTAAATGTACTGACCAGAACTCACATTAGTCAGGTTTGCTGGTGATATCCCTGGAGAAAAATTACTAGAAGTATAACATTTTGTTGATTAATACATCTCCAGTTTTCTTGGAGATGGTATCATTTAGAATTTTGAGGACATGTTGTGATTTTGGGAGGTAAGACAGCATTCATGAGAAACCTGCCAGTTCACAAAGTATTTGCCAAGGTCTTGGGCTAAAAAGTTAGGTGAGGGAGGGCACCATGTTGGGGATCTAGTATGGAGGTTTGTAATCCAACACACAGAAGGTACCAAGTTGAGGAAAGCTGGATTAATTAGTTAAGAAGAGTGTGTGATTATAAGCAAAGAAAATGTTGTCATTGATTTGACCAGGTTTTTAAAAATTCCTTACAGTCACTTTTAATACAAGTTCTTGAAAAAATGGTAGCTGAAAAACTGGTTCAGCTCCACTAGCTGTTGAAATCAGGACATGTCTAATAAAAATGCAAAGCACAGGTGTGTGTGCATATACCAGTTTTTATTTTTTGTCATACGCACATGTAAACCATTAACTTGACTAAAAGAGAGATGCATAACCTTAAGGGTCACATATGGTATCCAAAAATCTTGAGCGTGACCCCTAGAGTCTTCCAAAAGTTGTTTTGAAATCATAATTTTAAATGTGAAAATCAATAAAGGAAAAAACATTTTTTAATTTTACGTTGTGTTATTCATATCTCAGCTTGGTTGTTTGATTGCAGACATTTCATCACCCAGCTAGTTGGGTAACAAAACATCTGCAATCAAACAACCAAGCTCAGAGAGCTTGGTGTGCATATACCAGTTTTTATTTTTTGTCGTATGCACATGTATTTGACTAAAAGAGAGATGCATAACCTTAAGGGTTAGATATGGTATCCAAAAATCTTGAGCGTGACCCCTAGAGTCTTCCGAAAGTTGTTTTGAAATCATAATTTTAAATGTGAAAATCAATAAAGGGAAAAACATTTTTTAATTTTATGTTGTGGTATTCATATCTCAGCTTGGTTGTTTGATTGCAGATGCTTCATCACCCAACTAGTCGGGTAATGAAACATCTGTAATCAAACAACCAAGTTCAGAGAGCACCAAGGACATCACAGTTCAACCCTGAGCTTCTATTGGTATTCATATCTCAATTTTTCTCTGGGAGTCCACGATGACTTTTATGGCAGAGTCTCCCCTCACTTTATCCTCATAACAAAAAAACCCTAAGCCAGGTCGAGTTAAGCCTAGTTCAAAGTTATCAACATAAAATTAATATAATATATTACATTTTAATTAAATTTAAATGTTAACCACATCAATTTTTTTTTCTTTTTATTCTGTTCCCACTCATTATTTTCAGAGTATGGCTCCTAATCAGTCACTTAAAGCTTTGCACAACTTTTGGCCTAGGAAAAAAAATAAATAACATTGTGCTAACCAAAAAGTATTATTTTTTTCCCCATAAATAATGCTTCCAGCTTCCCCACCCTCCCTTCACTGGAGATATAGCTGGATGAGATCTATTTTACAGATGAGAATTAGAAGGAAACAGCCCTACGCCTTGTCCAGTCAAAAGGTCCTCGCTGTTGGTGAGAGGTTAATTTCTAGCGCAAGAAAAGCATTTCACAAATGTTTTTGAACCTTCCCAGATGCTCCTGAGAAGTCTGTTCTATTGTTTGCAATTCCCAAGAGAATTGATCTGCAGGGCTCTTTCTATTTTGAAATCGGGCATGGAAATGGAATACGGCTACAGTATAAAGAAGAAAAGCATTCCATTTGTCCCCGTAGTGCTGGACTCTCCAGTCCCAATGGCCAGTGTGAGTTGAGGACCAATAACTTCTGGAGGCCCACTGGGTTGCCATGCCTGCACCCAGCTGCAGAATTCCATAGTATGGAAGCCATGGATTTTTCTTCTCTTCTTATTCGTGTTGCATCCAATCTCCAACATGAGCTCATCAGGTCCCTGTTATTAGAGAGCAGGAGTAGCCCCAATGCTTGAACCCAGGAAACATATTTGAGTTCTGCATCTCCCTTCCTCGCTCCCTCCCCCAGTCTGTGTCCTGCAGCCTGGATACAAACCCATTACCTTTGCATAAGTTCATAGACTTTTCTTTGCCTCATTTATTCTTGTTTCCTGTTATAAAAAAAATCTGGAGCAGACTACAATTGCACAGCCATTCAAGCGATGCATAGAAGTTAGTATGTCTTGTACCAACAACAGTCTTCATGTGGTTTGGAGCCCCGAGACTCACATCCCTCTGTTGTTCAGCACCCCAAACCACAGGCTTTGCTAAAAGCAAGGCAGACTGAGAGGTGAGAGATGTTTGCTGAGCAAAATATAGGGCAATACAATAGAAAGCACTGTCAATATT